GGGCAACTGGTATTGGCAGCAGTAAACCATGAACGAGAGGACACCCAGGAACAGTCCATGCAGGTTTGTTCTGCACTTTGACTCGGCAAGGCAGCAAATGGACACAGTTCCCTGCAGGAGGGCTTTGTACAGCCCATAGCAAAGTCCAGAGCCTAAAACAAAACAAAACATCTCTTTCTCCAAGCCAATACCTAAACTCAAGTCAGTTAGTGTATAACAGGGTGCCCCCTAATGGGTTCCCCAAAACAAACAGGCAGCACTTGAACCTTTTTAGTTTTCTGTCAGCACTCAGCCTTTTCACCCAGCAGCAGGGAGAGAGCACTAAGCATCAGTCAGCTCACATACAGTGCATTCAAGCCCCCTTCACTTTTTTCATCGTTATGTTGCTGCCCAATACTGCAGTCATTTCCTCATTAATCTACACTCAGCATCCCATAATGACAAAGTGACAACAGAATTTTAGAAATGTTTGCAAATGTATGAAAGGAAAATCTGAAGTATCACATTAGCATAAGCATTCACACCCGTTGCAACAACACTTGAAGTTTAGCTCAGGTGCCTCCCATTTCTCTTGATGGTTGCCGAGATGTTTCTACACCATGATTGGAGTCCCCCTGTGGTAAGTCAAGGTGCCCATACACCTTACGACCATCGCAAGACTTTTGTCTTGCGATGGTCGTATGCTTATCGAAAGCTCGTACGATCTGCCCACCTTGGACGGGCAGATCGTACTTGCGATCATCGAAAGCCCGCCTTGCTGAGGGGCGAGCTTCCGATGACCGCAATGCAGAACGGGCAGTGTGCACGTGTGCACACCGGGCCGTTCCACAGCTATCGAACGAGCAGGCTAGAAACCCGCCGACAATCGTACGATTCTCGGCAGGTTTTCGAGCATGCGGGTTCGACAAAAGCCGTGCGACACTACAGTAGAAACGGTCGCACGTCTTCGTTCACACTGCTCGATTCTCGTACGATCGCGGGATTTCCCGCGATTCTCGTACGAGAATCGAGCAGTGTATGGGCACCTTTACATTGGTTGCACATGATTTGGAAAGGCGCACACCTCTCTATAGAAGACCTCAGTGCTGACAATCCATACTGTATCAGACTAAAAGCCATGAGGTCAAAGGAACTGCCAGAGCTCAGAGACAGTATTACTGCAAGGCACAGATCTGGAGAAGACTTAAAACTTTCTGCTTCACTGAAGGTTCCTAATGGCACACTGCCACTCCATCACTCATATGGTAGAAGTTTGGCACAACCAAGACTCTTCCAAGAGCGTATTGCCCGGCCAAACTGAGCAATATGGGGAGAAGAGCCTTAGTAAGAGAGGTGACCAAGAACTCGATGATCACTCTGACTGAGCTCCAGAGATCCTGTGTGGAGATGGGACAAAGTTCCAGAAGGATAACCATCACTGCAGCCCTCCACCGATCTGGCCTTTATGGCAGAGTAGCTAGGCGGAAGCCTCTCCTCAGTGCAAAACACAGGAAAGCCCGCTTGGAGTTTGCACAAGAGCCCCTGAAGGACTCTCATACTGAGGAACGAGATTCTCTGGTCTGATGAAACCAAGATTGAACGGTTTGTTCTCAATTCTAAATGTTATGTCTGGAGGAAACCAGGCACCTCTCATCACCTGACCAATACCATGCAACAGTGAAGCATGGTGGTGGTGGCAGCATGGTGTGGGGTGTTTTTCAGCAGCAGGGACTGGGAGACTGGTCCGGGTTAAGGGAAAGCTGAATGGAGCAAAGTACAGCGGTATCCTCAATGAAAGCCTGTTCCACAGTGCCCAGGACCTCAGACTGGGTCGAAGGTTCAACTTCCAACATGACAACGATCCTAAGCACACAGCCAACACAACACAGGACTGGCTTAGGGACAACTCCGTGAATGTCCTAGAGTGGCCCCAGCCAGAGCCCTGACTCGAACCCTATTGAACATCTCTGGAGAGACCTGGAAATGCCCCCATCCATCCTGACTGAGCAAAGAAGAATGGCAGAAAATCCCCCAATCCCTGTGTGCAAAGCTTGTGGCGTCATACCCAAAAAGACTCGAGGCTGAAATTACTGCCAAAGGCGCTTCAACAAAGGGTGTGAATACTTATGTACAGGTGATGTTTCAGAATAAAGTCAGACATTTCAGAAACTCTGTTTCCACTTTGTCATTATGCAGAGTGTAGAATAATGAGGAAACATCTGTAGTATTGGGCTGCAACATAACGGCATTGGAAACAGGGAAGGGGGTCGGAATAGTTTCTGAATGTAAGTATATAAAGGCCGGAGGACAGCTGAGACTAATACCTCTATGGTGAGCTGTAATTACAAGTTCAGTAGAGCTAAAGCTAACAATTATTTCCATAAATCGATTAGTTAGCTGATTATTAAGTTCGATTAATCAGATTAAGAAAAAAAAAAAAAGGCTCCAGTGATGGACTACTAGTTTCTATTGAGATTGCAGTCCATCACGGGAGCAAGCTTGGCAATGCGGTGGGCGTGGCGTAAGCGGGTTTACCGGCGTGAGCGGCTTAACCGACGTGGGGTCAGCGAGCGGGAAATTAGAATTTTAGCCGACGAATCGACGAAGGAAAACGTTGACAACGTTTTCCATAGTCGATTTTAATCGACTTAATTGAATAATTGTTGCAGCTCTAAAGTCCAGTCTGCACCCCTGACCGGTAGGCCCCTGTGGTGTTGGGTGCTGTAGTGATCGTGGATGGTGCCGCTCAAATCCAAGAAGAAACAAATTGTCACCAGCACACCAAGGAAATGTGTGCAAACTCCATCTTTACTGACAAGTGGACCATGTGTCACAAAGATGGCGACATCTCAGGGCCCCTTCATCATATTGAGCTTGATGAAGGGACCCCAAGCGGCCCCGAAACATTGCTATCTTTGTGTCAGAATGTCCACCTGTCAATAAATAGATGGCGTTTGCACATGATTTTGGTGTGCTGGTGACCATTTGTTTCTTCTGGAACTACAAGTGACACCATGCAAGTCATTCAGCCCTTCCCTGCATTCTGATGTAAACGTTCGATGACACCCATCTAAGATTTACAACTTGCTTGTGGGTAGGGTAGGGGTGCTGGAGCATTGATTTGTAGAATAGTCAGTATTTCCACCTAGGGTCCCGAGATCACGGGCTCTGAAGCCGTGTGCACATACCTCATATGACACGCTGATGCTGGTTTAACATTTCCAATGAAAAGCTTCTTTTTAATCCAGTTCTACCACATACCTCCTCTGTGATTTCCAGGACGTCCCCAGTTTTGAGTTCCAGTTCGTCTTCATTCTGCGGAAAGTAGTCAAAGAGAACTTTGCACTGCCTCTTCTTAGACTCTGGAAAGAACAGAAAGTGCAATCAGCATCATGTACTGAACATGTCTAAGAACTCGACACATACCATTCAACTAGAGCTGCAGCTAACGATTATTTTCAAAATCGATTAGTTGGACGATTATTGAGTTCGATTAATCGGTTAAAAAAATTAAATACATTTTAAAAAATTGCTCCAGTGATGGACTACTAGTTTGTATTGAGATTGTAGTCCATCACAGGAGCAAGCTTGGAGCGGTGGAAGTAAAGAAAAGGGAAAAAAAAGTGTGGTGTGCAATATAGTGAAATGAAAAGTGACTCAGCAATGCAACTAAAACACAGGATAAGGGCCCGTTCACACCAGCTGCAGTGCGTTCTGGCCCGATTCTATCCAGAATGCACTGCATCTGGCTCACTTTTTTGTGGGGCAGGAGGGGGCGTGGTGGGCCATTGAAGCGAATGGCACTGTAGCTACGCCCTTCGGCCGCAATGCGATCAGCTGCACGGGTTTGAAAGACACATTATGCCTGCGGTGCGGTTGCGATCAAAATAAATTGCAGCATTTTGATCAGACCGGACCGCAGGCATAATGTGTCTTGGTATCCCGTGCGACCGGAGGGCGTGGCTATGTTGCCATTCACTTCAATGGTTTGCCACGCCCCCTCCTGCCCCATAAAAAAAATTGAGCCGGCCGCAATGCGAGGCAGTGCGTTCTGGATAGAATCCGGCCGGAACGCACTGCATCTGGTGTGACAGAGACATAAGAAGTGGTTACCATGGTGAAGACAGCATGTCAAAAGGATCTGTAGATGACTTTGGTCACGGCAAGGATTAAAGACTCGTTTGCGTCTCTGTGTAAATCAATAAAGTTATACTCCCCTTAACCTTGAAACTGGCTAATGTTAGACGGGTCCCTTCCCCTTCACTCCTGCGGTCTAAGGTCCCAGAGTCATCACATCCAATACACTGTATATAGGATGTGAGGACGCTGAGGGACATACCATTACAGCAGCAGAGGAGAAGACAGGCTGGAGGGAGCGCGGTCAGAGCCAGCCCTCTCTGAGGATCAGGTGAATATAACCTATGTTACATCCTAGACAAAACGAGGTGTTCAGCTTTCTGGGCTTGTTCACACCAATTGCGGTGCTTTCCAGAGCAGTAGCTGCTGGGTCGCACTGTAAATGCACACTAAGCACCCCGCTGCGTTCTGGGGAGAGAGGGGGCGTAGCAATGCATTGAAGTCAATGGCACCACAGCCACTCCCCCCGTCTGCAGTGCGATCGGATGTGTGGCAAAACATTGCCTGCATTAAGGTCCACTGTGAACGCAGATAACAGAGCATGCAGCATTTGTTTGCATTCACAGTGGAACGGAATGCAGGCAATGTTTTGCCATGCGTCCGATCG